ATCAATATTCTAAAACTTTATGTTCAGGTGTTTACTTTTTTGTTGTGACATCATTCAAAGTTTTTTATATCTTTTTTTGTTCTTGTATAAGATAATAAAATACAACAGAGAGGGCATTAAGTCGCCATCTGTAATATAAAGGCGGCTAATTATAGTTTTAACAAAGTAAGCTAATTTACAGTTTCAGGATTCCTATCGGTATATAATGTTAATTTACTTGCTAAACAGAAATTTCTGCGGAAATGTAAAGCAATTAAATCACAATAGTGATACCTAAGCTTTTAAAATTGATTCTCCTTGCAAAAGAGGGAGTTTGAGATTCGTCTCTTTCAAAAATAAAACTAATTTTGATTTAAAAGAAAAATCACCTACGACTAATAGTGAAAAACTTGTTTTTGTCTACACCTCCTTCCTATTGGGATACCAAATCCAATAAATTAGTTACTATTTTAATTAGTACGTATTAAACAATACTATCATCATATTAACTATTTACCTTTAATTCGGAGAATCCCACGGGTAGGTGAAATCGAAGCTTATCATTTTCAAATGATGCTGTTAGATCTTTATGACGATATATAGTACTCAGTTTTTGTACCCTTCCATTTTGCAATTTCAAGGAGCACTTATGCGCCAGAAAAGAATAGATTGTAATTTACAATTGAAAATTAAATAGTTACCAAACTAATTTTGATTGGTATAGTATTCTACGTACGAAAGCGAAATTCTCGAAAACATCTGGAAGAGGCACAGTATCGCAGCAACATTTTTCTATCCAATTTGAAAATGCGTTTGTTAAAAGATCAACAGGATTACTAAGATTTGTTCGAAATTTCGCGACATCAACTTCAATCAGTTTGTTTTTAATGTCTTTGTTTTCATTATTTACACTTAAAGACCGCAATGAGAACGCAAATTCAAGTTATTACTGATAAATACTACCTTTTTAAACTTTGTAACAGTTCCAAATTAGGTTCCAAAGTCAATTTAAGGCTTACTGATAAATTACTTCCAATAAAGATAATTAGAAGCAGAAATATTAAAATAAGTCCATTATGCAGTATTTTTACTTTTTTCATGTTTATTCATGGGAAACTTCTTTTCTACGAAATAATAATAGCTAATATTAATTTAATTAGAGCTAGTAAAAAGAATAGTTTAAAAACTCAAGTGTCAGCCATTTTGAATATTCGCCAAGTTACTGTTCTAAGTTGGGACTGGAGACACATTTTATAATGTTGTGTCATTATAACCACTTTTATTTTGACGTTTATCTAACCCTACTTTATTCTAATCAAAGCAGAAGTAAAGTAGTGTAATTTTTGTATAAATGTCTTTATGTTTTCGAGAAAAGAACAAATTCTTAAAAAAACAGGCCCGAATGGTATAGGAAGGTATCAATTTCTTAATTTATTGGTCCAAGAATTTCGACTGACAAAATCATTAGGTATGATAAAATAAACTTACCAAATCATTTTCCAAGTTTGTATTAAACTGTTCTGTTAAATCTAGAATGCAAGCAACAAATATTGGCAAATTTAGCTAATTTTGCATATGATCCCATAAACTACGAATTTATTAGAAGTTTGTCCATCATTGACTTATTCATAAGCCAACTAGCACTACATGAACATGAAAGTCTTATAAACTACGCTGTTGCAGGATTGTGTAACTTGAGTGCAGGTATATTGCATTTTAATAAATTAATGTTTTATCTACATGTAGCATTTTCGTTTTAGATAACGAGAATCAGAATATTATCATTCAGCAGAGTGGCATCACTTTAATCACAAAACTGTTACTGCATAAGAACAAGGAAATTGCTTTAAATAGTTTAACTGCTTTATTATTTTTAATTACTCCAAGCAACAAACAATATCTTACAACAGAAACAATATACAATGTTATACAACTGAATGAGTCAAGTGATCCAAGATTTAAAAATTTGGCAACAATTTTTATTCAAGATTTATGTTCTGAGCATGAGATAAATTTGGCAAAATCCTGGAAACCCTCTTCTGAGCAACTTGAAAGTATACCATTACCATCTAATACATAATATCTTCAAATGTTACTCAATAAATATCAATTTTATTTTTTAACTTGTGTGAGATGTTTTTCTTCTAGAAATATTTCAAAAATTGGCACAAATGAATTAAACTCTGTCCAAATTAAAAGAATAGTAACTGCTAAAGATTTGGAAACATTTGCTACTTTGAGCGGTGACACAAACCCTATACATTTTGGAGATAAAGCAATTGTTCATGGTGCATTTTTAAATTCTCTTGTATCAGGCGTGATTGGAACTAAACTTCCTGGACATGGCACAATTCTAATATCACAAACTTTAAATTTTCCTAATAAATGTTTTGTAAATGAAGTTGTAACTGTTACTGTTAAAATTTTGGAGCAACGTAAAATAGTAAAAGTTGAATATGAGTGTGAAGTTGAGGAAGAAAAAAAAATTGTCTTGTATGGAGATGCAAAATTAATTTGTAATAAAAATAAATAATGTCATGAATAAAACTTTTTTCGCCAATTTTGCGTTTTTTCTTATTTTATTTACAACAATCGTTAAAATATGTGTTCACATTAAAGTCTTAATATTGCATAAAATTCTCAACAAATTAATTATGCTAGATCACTTATATCGCAAACAAATTAAACCTACGATTTTAAAATAAATGTCGATTGGCCCTCAAATTCGTCATTTTCCTGTTGCTGTTGCGTCATTTCTGTAAATCCCCGATATATTTGGTGCTTTCCAAAGTGTTTTAATCCTATATTCATTTTTAAGCATGGATAAGTTTAAAATATGTATTATGTTTTCGTTAATACTTGTTACATTTATTAAATATACAATATAATCAGTTAACATAAACAACTATATTGTTTTCGCGCTTTACAATATCGACAGTGTATGTGTATTGCTGTTAAAAAGTTGCTTTTTATTTTACAAATAATTTGGAAATACTGAATAAATTTTAAAGCGAGTTTTAGTTTACTTTAAGGATAAAATTTATTCAAAAAATTGTTTGCTTTTCAAATTTTTGTACGTCTATGCGCAATGTTAAGTTCATTAAACTTTATAATAAATATAAAATTATTAATTNAAAATTATTAATTATTGTTAATAAACTTATTATTCCCAGACGCTAATGAGTATTTAAAAACAATGTTGTAAATATTTTTATTTATTGTTTTCATTCTGTTTAACATTTCCGCATCCGTAAGCAAACGCAGCAAATCCTAAGAATTAAACAATGGCATTTAATTATTTAAAACTAGAGCGGAAAATATTAAATTAGTCTCCTCTGATACATCACAACATAAACAGTGTATTGAAGGTAAGATTGTAAAAATTATTTTATTTTGTGAATATCTCAAAATATGTTTCGTGTGCTGCATAAGCGTTGTAACGAAAAGTGAATTTAAAATAAATAATCTGAACAGTCATTTATTTTATTATTTAACATAGTAAAATATAAAATCAAATATGAGTATTTATTCTGTGATATTTGAATTTATGTGATTGTAAAAAAGTACTTACAAATCCAAGATAACATTTTTATTTTATCGTCAATTTTCTTTAAAACAGCAAATTAAGAAATGTTATTTTACTGAATTGACTACTTTTTAACTGTTCATTATTTAGTTGTCCCATAAAGTTTATCCAATGAACAAGCACTTTATACAACCTGTTCTATATGCAATTTCTACTTTAATTTAAATAAAAGGAAATGGGCGGCAAAAAAATGAAAATAGGAAGCGACTTTTTCTGCATTTCTTCAAGTAAACTTAGATAAATTTCACATTTCTTAGTATTCATGTAAAACTAAAAAAATTAAATAAGCAAATATGTAATTTTATTTAAGTATAATAGTATATGGTGACTGTTTAAAGTTTACATTGGTTAATTTTCCTTATTCATTAGGGAATTATAAGCAAAGAAAATAATAAAAATAGCGTCAAGGTATTAATAACAACTTATTTTATTTTCGTTGTAATATAATTTATCAACACTTTTTTTTATTATATTTCAGATGAAGTTCCCACCAATTTCTTTCGCAATTTTTCTCACGATCTTGATTGTCGTTATAAGCTTTTCCCATGCTTCAGTATCGGATAATACGATTAAGAACATAAATAAAGAAAACAACAACAACAAGGTGAAAGGCCACCACCATGCAAACAACCACACCCACCCCACCGACCCTTGTCCATGCACTTGTGGGGTGTTTTTGTCCGGTCAGTTTAAAAAGGGCTCCAAAGACCAACCCAAAGGGAATCCGGTACTTGTACAGGAAATGGATGGGACCTCCACGGGAAACAAACAGTGCATTAACAAATGCTTGGAACTGGTTAGTATCTAAGGGGGTAGTTCTTTATTCTCCTTCAATACATTTGCATAATCACCTGTGCATGTTAGAAATCCACAGGCGTACCCATCGAAGGGTTAAAAAATACAAAACAAAAACAATAGTTTTCAACGCTTACGTAATGCATGGACGATATTCTCCCTATTACCGTATTAATTAAGTTCCTGCAATCAAATTTTCCGTGACGCATTCAACTTTAGCGGGATTAATTACTTTTGATGCGGGTTCCTCCCCAGGAAATGATTTAAAATAATCAAATCGGTCTACCATATCGTTCGCATATTCTAAAAGCTCATTTCATCCATGAAAAGTTTCCCTTCTGCTTTATACGCCGTTGCACACAAAAGGGGGTAAAGATTTTAATGAGTTTTAATCGACAACTATTTAAATTATTAGTTATCTGTAGGTACATGAATAAAAACGCACTATTCTATTTTGCATTTAACAAAAAAAATATATATAAGTGGGTACAATGGTTTCATTACCTGTTTTTTGTGGGATGTGATCTCTTTATTTATCTACTATTTATATATTTCTCTTGTTTGCAGATTGTAAGGCACTTATCTAAAAGCAATGATATTATATGTGCGATGGTTGACCGCGATTGTGTGAAAGAAAAGGCCTACTTGTTCGTAAAAAACCACAGTTGCACGTGGCACAATTCAAATCTTTCCGCTGGGAGAGAGTTTTGTTGCAAGGATAATCAGGCGGTCAAATGTAATTCTAACAGCTAGAAGTTTCTTTTTGCTTTAGGTACAATTTATTAAGTTAAAATATTAACGTCGGTCGTCAGTATTTTTTTAAATGTAAATGTTTTTTATTATTCCATTAGCAATTTTCAATAAATACATTTTTTGGTAATTTTGTTTTAATTGATGATGATGACGAATTAAAAACAATTAAAAATTGATTGATTAATTAGAAACATTTTGCTGCAATGATACATCTATCTGGTGTTTATTTCTTTACTTCTATTTGAATCAAAGAAAGTTCGCAGTGCTTCCTTAATTATCCGAAAAGCACCTACGTAACTTAAGCAGAAAGATCAAGGGTGGGGGTGGTATATACTGATTTTCTTATCACGCTGTATACGCGTTTATTATTTGAGTTTTCAAAATTCTTTTAATTTTTAAAAAATCTTATTTATTACAATGGTAATCATGGTCATCACACATCACAATACCAATTGTACAAAAACATTTTTCCAACCAACGTCGTAGCGTGTCAAACGCTACTTATATTTAACTGGAAATGTGTTACATAGCAAAAATGTGCGTGTAATAGGAGAAGAGAAAAGTTTGATGATGTTAATTACAAGGGGACACCTTTAATGCAACAGGCGTGCTGACAGTGCGGCCCCTTCTTCAACAAGGTCATCGTCGTCACGTCCAACAGGTAGTCTATTCATGTGCAGTCAGGTGTTATATTACGTAGCTATAAGCCCCCCAGATCCTCCCGAGAGATACATTATACTTTGCCGACCACTCCTAGCGGCTCGCTTTGATTTTTGCACACGTTGATAGTTGGAAATTATATACATTGGTAACTTCTAGGGGTATAAATATATATGTATAGCTACTATCCAGTTCTATCGGTTTGTGTCTTGGACCTGTCGGCATTTACTTCCTCATGAATGTTCCTACCCCCTAAATGGTATAATTTACACGTCCAACATGTATCAAAGTAATGGCTTATTGAGCTTACAACTTAATATCCAGTATATCCATGAAATTGTTATGCAATATACAGGCAAGGTTAACAAAAACAGTTATCTATTTTTGAGAACAAGAAAAACTATGACTACCAAGTATTTTTAATATTTCTGTTATTCGATTTTTTTGGACACCGTATTTTAACATAAATTCATTCTCGTATCTCAAGCGGTTGGGGGCTCTCATTGCAGAGCAATCGTTACTCATTACGAATAGGATTTATTAGTTACGATAACATAAACAATTACAATAATAATGTTCATAGGTTAACGTTGGTTACCTACTTATTTTTTTGGGCACTTTTTTGGGATAATTCAGGTTTAAAGTATAACTGATCACTCTTTTCCCGCTTCTTCCTATAATTAGGTGGATCTTATTGCAACGATTGGTATGCAATAGGTAAATAGGGTAAACATAATGAAAATGATTTGTTGTTTAGAACAAGGAAAGCTATCACAATGTCAATTTTTATAGATTTTTATTAATCTCTATATAATAAAAGTCCTATCTCACTGATTCACTGAATCAGCAATGCCCGAATTAAACTCTTGGACAAAGATAGGTAAAATTTTGCACAGAGGTTTTTTTATGATGCATACGTAGACTAAAGAATATTTTCAAAATTGTACCACCAAGGGAATCGAAATGGGGTGATAAAAATTGTATGGAGCATTTCTGTTTATGGTTTAAACTAACTTGAAACTTAATTTTAATGCATAAAACACCTACTTCGGCATTTTAAAAAAATAAACCTTTTAAGGAGTTAAAGGTTTGAGCTTAGCCAAGCGGACTGGTTACGGCTAATTACTTATAAATTATTTAAATAAATAATTATTTTAGATTAGGATTAGACTAGATTGGGATTAGAGGAATCTCATTTTCGTATTTGACTCCTTTGCCGTATAAAAACAAAAATTACACATTTTGCCCTTACGTTAATCATGTCTAAAAGATTAGCTGTGTGGTGTGTTGTTTAGGGGTATAGTGTATCTCACAATTTTGGACAGGGTATGAGAAGCTGAAGAGAAAGTTATAAGATAAAAATTGTATAAATAGGTTTTTTGGAAGAGATCCATAAAATTTTGCGATTTTGCCTGCCTTCCTTGCTATCGGGTACTAGTTGACATGTAATATGCAAGTGTGAAGATGAATTATTACGTCAAAGCGGTTTGACGAATTTAATGTGGTTTCCATAAGACTATGATGTTATGGTTCCTTCAACTTATTTTTCTTATCGTTTTGTAATCTATTTATTTGTTAGTTCATGTAGCTTATCAGTCAATATAAATAATGACTGCACATATTTTTCCGCAAAATCTACTTGTACCAGATGACAAATTTCTATCTCCGCGTACACACTGTTCAAACAGATGCAAATTCTTATTATTTGCAACTCTGTCACCGAATACTTTGCGTATTGTTAGACATCCACACAGGTACCTAATTATGCAGTCAGTGAGTGAGTGAGTGTTTGCCTTTTGCCATGTCCGATATGTGTAGGTACATCAACAAGACTTAAGCTATGCGCTGCGCGGACCGTAATGTAAACAGTCCAAATGGTAGCTAACAATATTGTAATAAGTAAGTACGTACATATGATATGTACTTACATAGTGATGCAATTGTGAAGGGATGTGTTTATTTAGAACACATAAAGCAGAAATATGGTCGCGCTGAGCTGCGACACGGGGTTGCCCGGTTGTCGACCCGCGGGTCCAACAGTGCGTAACACTCTCCCCCCGGCAGTCCCTCGCGACCATCATCGTTGCCCTTTAAGTTTGATCGTCATCCGAAAATTTACAGCGGTGCCAAGCACAATCAAAACTGTTAGAAACATATCTGTTCATTTTATTTGCTAATCTAGAGAAAGCGCATTTATACAAGAGATAAAACCCCTGAACTACTTGTAATACCTACCACGAGTGCATTTTTGAACTTTTTTGTTTAATTTGAATCGAATGCATATCTAGTTCACATCTATTTGTTCTTGTTCCTGAATTCTTTGCAGTTTTTCCGTAGTCCGTTCTGTTGTAATAATCTACGTGTAATCAGTTCCAGATATGATTAAGTATGTAGAAGCATTTACAAGTTGTCAGTCTTTCTCAAGGCGAAACGTTGGCTGTAGTTTTCGAGTAAATAAATAAACTTTTAACTTCCTTGTGGCTTTGATTTCAAACCGAATAGAAATATAGAGGAAGGTTGGCTAATAAAATACACTTAGTTCCAAAAATTTTTATTAAAAGTCATTGCAATCCCAAAAAGGTATTTTTCATTGCGTTTACGTTTGTGTATACTAATGGGCGTGAATAAAAATTCTTTAAATTTATTAATAAATATACATTCAAATACTTTTGTATTGATAGACGTGACAACAAGGCTCCTTACGCAACTAGATTCTAACATAGAATTGATAAGTTTCAAGAATTTTCATCATTTTTACGCAACTATGAAGTGAGTGTTTGAAAAAAAATTAATATCTTTACGAAATGTAACTCCAGAACTTATTCAAAACTTGTCCTTTGATATTTTATGTATTTTAAAAAGAAAATTGGATTGTAAATTGTAATTCAATAATTTTAGTATGTACTAATAGAAACTACAATTTCAGTAGTACATAGCTTTTGCTTTTGTCATACGAAATCGTTATTTGGTGACCTATTAATTAACTATGTCCGCTTAATCAGTGTTTAATGATTTATATACCTCAGAACAAATTGGTTATTGAACTACTAGTGCAATATTTAATGTTCCATTGCGAATCGAAACAGTAACTTTCGATTTAGGTAATTTAAATTAGACACTTAAAATAAAACCAATTTTAAACTTTTCGAGACATACAATCGTTTCAAATATGCATCGACCCGAACAGCAAAATATAAAATCAATTATTTGCAAAAGCACAAAATTAGAAGTTAAAAAAGGTAATGAATTATTTGCGGTTTCTCTATAAAATACGGTATAAATACGTAAAGTACTTTTGGCGGATACCCCTAGAAAGAATGGATTAGATTATAGATTATACCATTAAAAAAGAAGTACTACTTGATTTCAATTTATGAAATGGCTAGAATTTTCTTTTACATTGTTTTATAATACAAGGGTTTAACAAAGGAAAAACTGTTAGATCCTCTTTATATTACACACTTTTTTGGTTCTTTTTTATTTTTTATGATATTTTACTGCAACGCGAATGTTTTAATTCAGTTACCCCCATTTTTCAAATTTTAGCTTCAGTAGCTTCAGAAACAAAGGACGATAGGTGCCATGAAAAAATAAAAACAAATTTTCAAATTATTTCTTTTAAAATGTCTACGTCAATGGTTTTTGGGAAATCAGATAGATGATGATGATGAGTGATTTTACAACGGTTTATTTTTTTCCTTTTATAGTAAGGAAACATAAATTTTATTCTCAACGGTATTACATATACATAAAAGTAAGAATAAGTTTTTAATTCTTTGAATGAAGGATTTAGCACAATTTGCTAAGATGCAATTAAAACGGCAAGAAGCTTTCAATTTTGTTTTAATTGAATGATGTTACTACTTGAAACCGAATGTTCTCGTTGTCTGTCATTTATAAAACGAGCTGCTTGTCCTCTGTAGTGAGTGGTAATCATATGAGAGAGAAATGGCAGCGACTTGTACAGTAGTGGTAAGCCACATGATTATTTAACATTAGGTACATTTACATACACACAGATATCTATTGTATATAAGTACACCTAATAAGTAGAACCACTTGTTCGGAATACGCACTATCCTGGGAAAGTGTGTTCTTCTGCCCAGATTCTTCTTCTTCTTCTCGATACCTTAAAACTCTTGGCTAGATTTCGGACATGACCGTTCATTTTACGCACGTTTGGTCATTGACCGATATTACGGGTTTTGCAGTGACGTGCGTGTAGAATCCGCTGTACCAGCTAATTTCTCTTTTTTCTGTTGCGTCCTTTAAAAAAGCCATATTATACCAATACCCATACACATTTACCACATTAACGCACGTGAAAGTTCCAAACGAGTTGGCGTAATACACAAATTAAATTTAATAAAACATCAAACAATTTACCGTTCCTTTTTTTTGTCATCGAATCCCGTAACAA